GCTCTTTTGCTCAAGGCCAGTGCTTTACCACCTTGAGCCATAGAGCCACTTCCAATTTTTGAGTGGTTAATTGGAATAAGAGTCTCACAAGGATTTTTCTGCCTGAGCTGGCTTTGAACCATGATCCTCAGATCTTACCCTCCTGAGTAGCTAGGATTACAGGTCTGAGCCACTGATAGCCTTTTGTTTGTATTTTTAACTAAAATGTTCTTGAATCAAAGACTCTTTCTTCAAGTATAGATTTCTATACTTCCTCTTCATGACTTCTATTTCTGCCTCATTTTTTTTTCTCTTTTCCAGGAAGAAAAAATTATTGGGTATCCTGGTACTGCACAAAATCCGGCGTGGAATCTCTGGCATTGTGGGCATGGAGGAGGATCAGCGCCTATTCCATGGCTGCAGAGATGATTCAGAAGCAGATGGACATCACCACGGTACACATGTGACCAACTGTGTTATAGGCACATGAATTAGCCAAGCCTGCGTCCAGTAGGAGTTCCACCTGGAAGCCCCTAAGCTTCCCCCCAACAATAGTCTTAAAGATGAATGCTGGCCCTGGGTGAGCAACCAACTCCATACTCACCTGGAAAACCACAAGGCCACTTTCTGGTGGTGTAGTCCAGGGACCTTTCTTTTTTTGTTGTTTTTGTTGTTGTTGGTCGTGGGCCTTGAACTCTTGGCCTGGGTGCTGTCCCTCAGCTCTTCAGCTTAAGGCAAGTACTCTACCACTTGAGCCACAGTACCACTTCTGGTTTTCTGATGATTTATTGGAGATAAGAGTCTCACAGACTTTCCTGCCCAGGCTGGCTTTGAACTGCGATCCTCAGATCTCAGCCTCCTGAGTAGCTAGGATTACAGGTATGAGCCACCAGTGCCGGCCACAGGGACCTTTCTTTTAGGGTTTTAAGGCTTGCTTTTGTTTAAATCCTCCTTTATCTAGGTGTCCTCAGAACACCCACGTGATCTGCCCTGAGAACTGTCACTCATAAGGACCTCAGGGAACAACTAAGTGCTAGAAAGACCAAGAAAATAGGCATCACCAAAAGCCAGGAATAAGATCCTGGGATGAGAGGAGGGGGTAAAATGCATTAATGGGAAATGTGCATTTACCAAACTGTAGATTTTGTTTTCAGTTGTTTGTTTTTTGTTTTTTTTTTTTTTGGTCAGTCATGGGGCTTGAACTCTGGGCCTGGGCGCTGTCCCTCAGCTCTTCAGCTTAAGGCAAGTGCTCTACCACTTGAGCCACAGCACCACTTCTGGTTTTCTGGTGGTTTATTGGAGATAAGAGTCTCATAGACTTTCCTGCCCGGGCTAGCTTTGAACTGCAATCCTCAGATCTCAGACTCCTGCTTAGCTGGGATGACAGGTGTGAGCCACCACACCTGGCAGCTTTGGGATTTTGTGGACGATTTCCTCACTACCACCAAAATATTTAAACCTTTGAAATACTTGATTTTTTTCAAACAGCATTTTGTTTACTTAGGCACAAGATCACTCATCCAGCCATCACCCCCCAGCCCTCACCTCCTGTCATTCCTTGATACTTCTTTACCTCCTGTTCATGTGCTCACCTCCACCCCAGCCAGGCACTTCAGCCTGCATGAGAGTAGGTGAATGCACCTCCACAGCCCAGGGTCGGTCAGGCCCACCAGGACTCAGGTGGGTCACAGAGCCCGGGAGAAACTCTAGTCAGCTCACTCGGAGTTCTTTTGCAACCTCCTATGGCACATTTTCCAACCAAGTCAGAGGCAGAACCACTGAGCACATTCCATTACACTCTCCGGTCTTGCTCCAGAACCTTACATACAGTACCTACAGGTTAGCGGCTGACTCATTCTGGGATACTGGCCTCCCCAGTAGGGTCCCCAATGTCTCTTGAGGCTGTACAGTTATTTTGTTTCCTGAAGCATGTCTAGTTTGATTCCCTTAGGGCCATTCATTGCGAAGAAGGGACACGTGGAATAGAATCACGTTTCTATAGAACACTCTAGGTTGTATATCCCTGCAAAGCCTACGTGTGAATAGTAACATGGTCCTGTGGGTATGAAGAGACCCAGGCAGACGGAGCTGGGGCAGGGCCTCCATTCAGATCTCGCTCTGTCGCTCGGTGGCAGTTTCCACCTGCAGGGTCCATGCTGGTGCGAGGTGGTGGAAAGGGAATGGTGGAGCCACTCATAATGAGTGCCAGGCCTTTGTGCCAGGCAGGATAGATCGGCAGGCACAGGAGCATCCCCTGGCTTTTGCAGAGACGCTGGTAAATAGCATGTCCCATGTTGGTGACATTCTAGGACAAGCTGGGGGGCTTGGACACACTGAGGCAGTACACTCCACACAGACCCTGCAGGGATTGGATTTGAGGTGAGTAAGCCAGCTGAGGGACCCCGGCCTCCGTAGCCCCTAACTGTCCTCAAACCAAGTGATGCCCCATCTTTCAGCTGGGAAAAGGCATCCTCTGAGCTCATTGCTCACCCCCTACTGCAAGGGCCCTGCTGACCGCTGGCCCAAACTCAGTCCAGCTCATAACCCTTGCTACTTCCTGCCCCTTGTATGTGGCTTCTGCTGGCTACACCCACTGCTTGCTAGACAGGATGGTGAAGATGTAACTCACTAGAAATACATCAACATGATGTATTTGCCAATGGTAGAGGAAAATAGTCCTTTTTCCCTCAGAGATGATCAGTCTAAACCTCATTTCAGATTCAGTCATCACAATTGAAGAAGTGGGTTTCATTCAAATGAAGGTACAGGAAGGTGAGAGCTTAAAACTTCAGTGGAGGTAGGTTGCAGCGCTGCCGGTCAGAGACTGGTACTCATTAATTCTTTTCTTTCTGTATGCTGAGGAAAACTATATGTCCCAGCATTCTTTGCAGTTACGTTAGGTTTCTGAGATCCAGCCAATGAAGGGTGAGTAACCAGGATATCAAGAGCTTCCAGATTTAGCCATATCCCTGTGAGATTATGTTTGTACTATTTATTCTGTCTGGGTTGATGGAATGATGGAACTTGTTTACAGAGGGACTTTGAATCACTGTCATCCCTTGGGGAAAGACTTGCCGAAAAGAAGCCTCTCGCTGGACTTTGTATGAGCAAAAGATAAATGTGTATTAGTTGGTTTGGCTTGGTTTGGATTGGTGTGGTTTGATTTGGAGCTAGAGCCTGAACTCAGGGTCGTGTGCATTCTAAGCACACACTCTACTACTGAGCCACACACCCAACTCCCACGTGTTTAGTCATTTGGGTGAGAGTTGCTGCTTCAGCCCAATTTAACTTTGCTTCCTACTGGCATGTGGAAGGCAGGGAAGACTCCTCCCTCCTCCTGGCTAAGTCTCCACCCAGTACCTGTGACACCCAGGTAACTAGCACACCTGGAGGCAGTGACCTCCCACTCCTTCGGGTCACATCCTGGGCTGTCGGGGTCACCCTGTCAAGGTCAGGGCCCTGAGGTCACATCTGCATCCGGTGTGTCCACACCTTCCCTCACCCAGCCACACCTTCTCCCCTCCTCTTCCCTAGTTAAGTAAGGCTGGGCAAAACAGCCCTCCTGTCCTTTCGGCCATGTGCTCTCTGCCACGCACAGCAGGGCAGCAGTTCAGTAATAAACTTCTCTTCCCGCTTGAATACCAAGTGGTGTTCTCTTCATCAGCTACCTTATTAAACCTACCTATTTAATTTACCTTACAGCATGGGAGATTTAATCTGACATATAAATGAGAGCCATCTTCAAATCTCAATAGCTGAAGGGTCACGTGGTGCCAGCAGTCACAATTAATGCCAGCACATAAAGTGGTCCAACTTTAGCTCAGGAGTTAAAAGTTATGCCCAACCATGGAGCTGTCTTGCTCATGGTATGAGTGGTGGTGTTTGGAGGGACTGGACCATCGTTTCTGAGGAGTTGGATAGCATAATTTCTTGGGTACATTGCAGTGTTGGTATCTGATGTTTAAACTAGCAGTATTACGATATTTGTTGGATTACAGCAATGGCACTGGTTCCATTATGACCCCACTAAAGTCCACTAGCTTGAAAGATAAATTCCAGGAAGGGAAGCTGCTGAATTCCAGCTGCAAGACGAGAGGGTTTTCAGAAAAGCCTGGCGCCAAGAGGATCAGATTCTGACTCTGTTGGTTGTACCTACTGAAGCTCAGCTGCAGACAGAGATGAGTTCTGTGCTAAAGATTTCTTCTACTTTTTTCCTGCCAACCCACAGACCAGTGCACATAAACAGGAAGATGAGCCCTTGCCTCATGAAGCAAGATAAAAAGAATCTTATTGGTTTCTGCCACCTACAGTCCAAGCCAGATGAGCTTTTTCTCCCACCCTTTCTTTCTAGAGAAAAGAGAGTCTTAATCCTTCATAACATCCTTATTTACTCTGTTTGGAAGAAAAAATCTAGTCTTCTGGAACACTTTAGGACACCAAGAGTCTGACTCAGCAAGGAATTAAGTGACCAAAATGAAATTTATGTTTCAATAGGATGCAGCTAATCCTTAGTGATTAACTTGGAGTCTGCTTTGGAAAAGACATCTCTGCCTAATGAGCCTGGTTGACAAATGTGGGCCTCCCCAAGTAAAACGCAACCGTTGAGGAAATCGCCAAAGGGATGAGTACAGCTGGCCCTTCTGCTTTGGGACTCTTCTTCCTGAGGAAGAGATGGTCTGACTGATCTAGGCTTCATTGTGAAGAGCAGCTTTGGAGCAGGTACGGTGGCCAAAAACAGGGTGGATTTCTCCAAACCGTAGGATAGAACTTGACCCTCCAAAGGGAGGCAGCCAAGGAAAATCTCAGAATGGTTTATCTCAAGAAGGAAGAGACGACCCCCTCTTCTTTAAGGTCTCTGTCTTTCTTGACCAATTACTGGATAATCCAGGTCAGATCCTCTGATTGCTCAGAGATTTCTGATGTTAATTCCTGCTTCCTGCACCTTCCTAACGCCTTAGGTACACACATCCACCTGGTTTTGGAAGACACCCTCCCCCAATAAGGACTAAACACACTCCTGCTATGAGTGGTTACTTTGCTTTATTTGCAGACAGGTTTGCCACATAAACCTATTGCACAGTCCATCACTTGTAGACTCGGTGTAAAAGAGAGGACATTACAAAAATGCAACTCTTGATAACAAGTGGAGCTGTTCTTAGCTCATCCCAGCCCGTGCCAGTGAGAATGCCAGTGTTTAGGTCAAAATAGGGGGAAAAGCTATGGAGCGAAGGGACACAAAAGACTCAGCCAATACCATCGCACTGGTAAGATGGCAGGCTGAAGCTGAGTGAATTCTTCCTGGTTCTGCAACTATTTCTGCCACCTTCAGACTTACTCATTTCCTCCTCAAGAAAGAGGAAGAGGAAGTCCTAGATTATCAGAGACCTTCCAGAGAGAGCTGGAGCCCTCAAAGTCAAAGTCAAGTAGAACCCTAGGATCCCAAAGCCATCCTTCCCTGCAGCTCATCCACCCTTGGCCTCTGATAGAAGGGGTAAGAGACACAGAGTGTAGGATCGATGGTTTGGAGGTTGAAGAAGAGAGAGAAGAGAGATTGAGTATAGGATTCTGCCTGTTCACTCTCTCAAGTTAACAAGAGTTCAGAAATATCCTACTGCTGCAAACTTCTCCCTGCCCCTGAACTCCTCCTGGGCTACGGCCTAGCTAGCCTCTTACTTTGGAAGGATTTAAATCTTGGGGGTTTTGAGAGCATGCTGTGGGAAGTCAGAGCCTGTTCTAGTCCCGTCTGAAGGGCTGGTGTTTCTGTGAAGGAGGCACTTCTCTCAGAGCAGCCAGCAGCTCTCCTGCCCTTGCTATGTCCACCAGGGCAGAGCTGGGCATGACACCTGGCAAAGGCCAAGTCTCTGGGTTTTGACCAGTCAAATGAGATTGAGGACCTCGTTCCTCCCCGCCCGCCCCCCAGCACCACAATCTGTGCTCTCTAGAGATCTTTGAGGGGTGGCACTCACAAAGCAAGAAGATTTGCTGTGAATCTGATCAGGGCCAGACACAAACCTTCAAGAGAGATGAGCTCTGTCCTCAGCCCTCTGTGATGGAAGGAAAGCATGACATAGGGCCCAAGGGCCGCTGCTCTCTCCAGATGGGTGAAGTGGGGCATCTCACAGAGGGGCAGGGACAGAGAACAAAGGCGAAGTGAGCTCCAGGCCACCTCCTCTCCTGTCCACATGAGCTATTGGATCCACACTGGATCTTTATCCTGGGCCTGCTGCCTGAGACCTTGAGAGCGTGTGGTGTGGTTGGTTAGAGCTGAGGATTCTGGGAGCGGGTCACATTCCTCTCTTGATAACTGCTGGCCACTCCATAGTATGTGTGGCAGGGGATGGGGAGTATGGACCCTACCAGCAGTAATAGAATCTCAGTGTCTTGGCCCTCATCTGGTGGGGAGACCTGACATTTAGATCTCTCTCCTTCTGCACACCGGGCTCTCCTGTCTGCCATTCTGGGAACGTGATGGAAGAAAAGCTCATTGGGAGGAAATCTGTGCCAAGAGCTTCAAGAAGGACATCCTGGCTTCAGGTCCTAGTGGCTACATTTGATACTTTTATTTTGAAGGACCTTTGGCAGCTCCCTGGGGAGGCCTGGGGTTCACTTGCCATCAGCCTTTGGACCTGGGGCAGGGGCGGGAGGGGGGTTCTGTTCCACCTTTCCCATAAACATAGGATGCAGTTGCTGCCGGGCTCTCTGCCGCTGTCCCTGCCCCCATCCCATGTCTACCATTCCTTCTCCCCTTCCATCTGTTCAGTCTCCCCTTCCCGCCCTGTGATACAGCGGGTGTCAAAGGTGACAGCACAACTTTGTGCGTCACGGAGTACGACAGGCACTTGGACAAGTCTCACCGCTGACCTTAGTGGCGCCCTGGACCCCACCCCACCACATCTGCTCTTTGCAAACCTGCTGCCAGTGCCAGTCCGCTGTCTCCCCATCCCCAGCAGCCCCAGCTGCGGGAAGACACATCAGGGTTGACTGAGCTCATCTCCCCCAATCAGCGGCACCCTGGACCCCTGCAAGCTAGAACTGCCCTCCAGGGATCAGAGAGGCCTGGCGGTGGCCCAGTCATCCATCCCTCCCTCCCTCCAGCAGAAAAAAAGGGGTGCAGCTGCCACACAAGCTCAGGGACCACCCAGCCTCTGGGCTAAATCAAGGCTCAGGCCTCACCTAAGCCCACACACACGGGTGACTGAGGCTAGACCAACCCACCCGGAGGGGACCCGACCACGGCAGGCACCACTCCGGGTGAGGCAGGGGTCTGGAGCGTGGAATGGAGCTTCGTTAACAATCCAGGCTCCCCACTGTGGGCCTCACTTTTTCCAGAGGCCTCAGGAGCCCCCAGTGGGTAGGCCTCCCTGGCCCTGCGGGTCCTAGAGCAGGTAAAGAAAGCCAGGCAGGCTCCCCGGAGGCGGGCCAGGTCCCTGTGGGTAGTCTCGCTGACGAAGCAGTACAACACGGGGTCGGCGACACAGTTGAAGCTGGTGAGGAGGAGGGAGAAGTGGTAGGCGTTGAAGATGCCCTTGGCGAACTCGCAGCTGGCCTCCCAGAGGCTGCGCACCAGCAGCAGCACGTGGTAGGGCAGGAAGCAGGCCAGGAAGATGACCACGGTGCTCAGGACCAGCCGCTGGATCTGGTCCTTGCGGCTCTTCTGCGTGCCGTGGCTGCGCCGCACTGCCCGCAGGATGCCCTGGTAGGAGGCCAGCAGGAGGCAGATGGGGAAGAGGAAGCCCACCAGGAAGCGGTAGTAGTTGATGCTGCGCTGCCACGCCTGGATGGGGTAATGCTCGAAGCATACGCGGTGCCGGTCCTTGTCCTCGATCACTTCCTTGTGCATGAGGAAGTAGATGCTGGTCAGCAGTTCCTTGACCCAGATGGCCACACTGACACCGACCGCTGCCTTCAGGGTCCGGAACTGATGGAAGCGGAAAGGATGGGCCACGGCCAGGTAGCGGTCGATGGAGATGCAGCAGAGGAAGCCCACGCTGATGTAGATGTTCTCATAGAGGAGGATGCCGCACACCTGGCAGGACAGGTCGCCGTGGGACCAGTTGTCATGCTGCAGCACGTACTGCAGCCAGAAGGGGAGCGAGCAGATGTAGAAGAGGTCAGCCATGGTGAGGTTGCACAGGTACACGCCCAGCTCGTTCCGGGCCTTGATCTGCAGGTAGCCGAAGTAGAGAGACAGGCAGTTGGCCGGAAAGCCCACCACCAGCACCGTGACATAGACCACGGGGGCCAGCGTCTGGTGAATGGTGTGGTCAATGGTACAGGTCAGCGAGGAGTTATCTGTGGTGATGTTCCCCATCTTTGGACCGGAAAGGGCCTTTACCCTTCACAGGCTCAGGGACTTTTCTCCACCGCCATCTTGTTTAGAGAAGGTGGCTCAAGCTGTGAGCCCCTGGAAGTAAATTAAAGGTGAGAAAGGCTTAGAAGAATCATAGCTAGCATGTATATAGTGCCTGCTGTATATCAGACACTGTTGAACATGCCGTATTTGTTTGTTCATTTACTTATTTTGCTAGTTCCCAGGCTTGAACTCAGGACCCGAGCGCTATCCCTGAGCCTCTTTGTGCTCAAGACTAGTGCTCTTCCACTTGAGCCACAGCACCACTTCTAGCTTTTTCTGAGTAATTTATTGGAGATAAGAATCTCACAGACTTTCCTGCCTGGGTTGTCTTTCAACTATGATCGTTAGATCTAGCTCCCCGAGTAGCTAGGGTTATAGGTGTGAGTCATCGACATCCAGCTTTTTTTCCCCTTTTTTCTTTTTGTCAGTTACAGGGCTTGAACTCAGGGTGTGGGCACTGTCCCTGAGTTCTTTTGCTCAAGGCTAGCACTCTACCACTTTGAGCCACTGTACCACTTTCAGTTTTCTGATGGTTAATTGGAGATAAGAGTCTTATGGACCTTCCCGCCTGGGCTGGCTTTGAACCACAAGCCTCAGATCTCAACCTCCTAAGACGTGAGGATTACAAAATGTGAGCCATCAGTCCCTGGCTATGTACTGTATTCTATTCAACTTATGTACCAGCCAGCCAACTCTAATCCAAGGAGAATATCTGAACAGACCATATACCAAGACACAGTCTATGGCTTCCCTTCCCTCTCTCTGGCTTCCCTCATTTTTTCCCTGATCTTTGTCTTCCAGATGTGTTGGTGCCGTAGATAGGAGAGGTGCGAGCCCATTCTGAGCTCTGCTCTGCAGGGGAGTCTCAAAGCCAAGGTCAGTTCCAACCCTCACACAGTAAGGGCCCTCCACCCTTGCCTACAGCAATCAGCAACCTGTTTCCTGCTCACTCCTGGGGCTTTGCTACGTGCAACACAGCTCTTGCCAGGGCCTCTCCAGACAGCAGCAGAAGCAACCTTGTCGCATCCTATTGTGCAAGAAATAAAAGTGGAGCTTCCTGAAGGGCCTTACCTAGACTCCTGGATTTCCCATCAGCAGTCCCTACCCATCCTCTCCTTCATGGAGCTCAAGGAAGGTTCTGGACCAGGAGCCAAAAGACAAAGAGTTCCAGGCCAGTGGAACAAGAGTTCCACCCCAGCATCAACTGTATCCTACCCTTCTAGGAAGGGAAGGGTTGAACAACTACTACCAGGTGTGCAAGTCACTTAGCCCATTTCCTCACTTGGAAAAAAGATAAAAGCAGCTACTCGGGGAGGCCGTCTGCACAGGACCACATATAACAACTGCTGTCAGGAGGCACAGCGTTGGTTTGCCAAGGGAGTGCAAGATTCTCATCTTACTCAGATCAGTGAAAGGTTCACATGATTGGGAATTTAACGTAGAGGATTCCAGACACACAAGCAAGTGTGACTGACACCCGATATAATGTTGTATTGTGAATTAACATGTCAAAATAATAAAGGCTTGAGCTGCTCTTCTAGTTTTGATTCAGCATTTCTCTCTCAAACAAAAACCCTCACTAGATCTAAAACTGTATTTGATTTTTCTCCTTCTCTTCCTTCTTTACAGTATGATTATATAGACGAGGTTAGCCTCCAACCCACATCCTCCAGCCTTAGCCTCCCAAATGCTAGGATTATAGGCGTGTACTATGTACTATACAGGCTAAATCAACATATCCCTATTGAGAATGTAGCAGATTCTCAGTGAATGGGGGTGGGGGTCTAAATTAAGTGACTTTGTGTGGTCTACATGTCAATTCTCTGCACAGGGTTGAACTGGAATTCATGGCCCCCTGCAGGAAAAACCCTTGGAGTCTATACTCAAGTATCGTAAGACCACAGGACTCCAGCTCCTTACAGCTCTCTGAGAAGCTAAGTCCTCCTCTTCTTTCTCTTCCTCCTCCTCCTTCCTTTCTCTTTTCCTCTACCACCACCCCAGCTCTACCTTTCTTAAGACCACCAGATGAGAAGCTGGCCCAGCATGCTACAAAGGCTCTCAGGTAAGTCCAGCCCCGAAGTTTCAGTCCTGTGGTTCAAGAAGGATCAACATGAGGAATTTCTCTAAAGTCACATTCAATACTGTAAATACCCAACTACATTCATCCCCTCCATAGTCATCATGTCTGTTTGCCGTGGTTCACTGTGGTTACAAAGAAAATGGATGAGTCTAACACCGTAAGATATGTTCAACTTGGGAGGCTTAAGACAGAAGGATGGAGACAAGGCCAGCTCAGGCTCACATAGTGAGTCCCTGTCTCAAAAACAAACAAAAAAGGGGCTGGGAAGGTGGCTCAGTGCTAGAATGCTTGCCTCACATGCATGAGGCCCTGGGTTCGAGTCCTCAGCACCACATAAGCAAAAAAAGCTGTGGCTCAAGAGCGTTAGCTTTGAGCTGAAGAGCGCAGGGACAGCACCCAGGCCGAGTTCAGGTCCCACAACTGACCAAAAAAAAAAAAAGATAATAGGACCATGGCTTTCCTAAATGTTTACAAAATACACAAGAAACAGGTCCTATGCAACGCTACCCTCTTTCACTTAGTCTCCAGCTTCCTGTCGCTGCCTCCAAAACCAATCCTCTCTTCTACCCTAGCTCTTTCCACCATATTGCCCCACCAAACTCTGTCGGCCCAATGTACTAGCCCCTTCCCCCAGCTCCACCCACCTTCCATTCTAGATCTCTTTTCCACCTCAGCTCTGCCCCCACCCTGCCCCCCCCCCCCAGCTACCCCCCTTCCCACCTCAGGCCCCCTGATTATCACCACCGGGCAGCCATGGCCGTTCTTCCAAAATGCCAACCAGATTCTCTTCCTTGCTTCATGCCCACCGAGGTAGACTCTTTCACACTTAAACTGCAACCCTTGGGGGAGGCCTACGGGACCTGTACGTGTGCGCGTGCATGTGATCTGGTTCCAGTTCTCTGATCTTACCTGCCTCCCCCACACCACAGCCACAGGACCAGCTTCCTGTGTGGTACCTCGGATGTCACACCTCAGACCTGAGGAGGCCTTGATCAGCTCCTACTGCTTCCTGACTTCTCCTCCTGCCCTGCCCCACCCACCCCATAGCATCTGCTCCTTCTTTATCAGATCTCATCCAAGGAGTGCAGCCCGCCCGTCCGTGGGCTCCACAGGCTCCTCGGCTGAGCTTCTTGTGCATTTCTTTGTCTCCCACGAGAATGTAAATCCCAACTTGCACACTTGACCAGTGCTGGGTCTTTAGCAGCTTGAACTGCCTGGAGATTCTTAATTAAATAGGTGAACACCACTTCCTTTATTTCAGGTCAGGAAACTGGTTCAAAGGGAAAGTGACTTGCCCAAAGCCAATAGAAAGAAGGAAGAATCAGCTAGAATCTAGGACTCTGTTTCATGTCCTTCCCCCTGCCCCACTCCCATCAACCAAGGTCTCCACCCAAAGCTCACCTCTCCAACCCCTCAGTTCCCAGAAGCCATGAATTCCCAGTAGAATCAGCTCCCACATCCGGTCCAGGGCACTGGCCTGACCCAGCAGGGAGGATTGCTTCTTATCCTTTTAATTGTGATAAAAAATATACACAAGACAAAATGTAACCACCTAAACCACTTTAGATCTACAGCGTGGTGGCGTTAAGTACTTTCCCACCTTCTAACCATCACCCCTCCCATCTCCCGAACACTGCTCATTATTGCAACAGTAAAACTCTGAATCCATTCAAGATGAGATCCCTCAGCCCCATTCTACTTCCTGTCTCTATGATTTTGACTATGCTGGGCACCTTCTGTAAGTGGCATCATACAGTATGAAGTCCTATTATGTCTGGCTGTTTCATTTAGTACAATGTCTTCAAGATTCACCCAGCCTGGAAGATGTGTCAGAATTGCCTTTTCCTTTTTTTTTTTTTGCTGGTCGTGGGGCCTGAACTCTGGGCCTGGGCACTGTCCCTCAGCTCTTCAGCTCAAGGCTAGTGCTCTACCACTTAAGCCACAGTGCCACTTCCAGCTTTTTTCTACTTATGTGGTGCTGAGGAATGGAACCCAGGGCCTCCTGCATGCAAGGCAAGTGCTCTACCACTGATCCACCTTCCCAGCCCCCGAATTGCCTTTTTAAGGCTGAGTAAAATGAAATTTACTCATGCCACCTTTGGTTTAGCCATCTGGACATTTGGGTTGTTTCCATCTTCAGCCACTGAGAATAATACTGTTATAAACATACAGGTACCAAGATCTGTCAAGCTCCTGCTTTCAAGTCTTATGGCTATTATATCTCCATATCCAGAACTGGAATAGCTGGATCATAAGATAATTCTATGGTCATTGTTTGGGAAGTGCCAGAGTATTTTTCCAGAGCAGCTCAGTGCACAGGTGTTTTTAGATTGTCCATTTGCTTTCACACTTACATGCTTTGGTGGTGAGAAAAAAGGAAGAAGGATCAGCCGAAGCCTGGGATAACCCACCCCCCCCCAAAAAAAAAAACAAAGACCACTGCCCACAGTCCACTAAATCACCACACCATCCTCCTGCTAGCTCTCCTATCCCTGAATCCCAAACCCACTCTGGAACCCAGTGCCTCATCAGAATTCCTTATGAGGAAGTGGACAGCAGCACAGGTTCTAGAGTGGCCCCCAGGCACAACCAGTTAGGACTGGTTCTCCGCAGGTTGGATAAAATCTACCTGCAGGAAGGTACAATTCACTCATCAGCACAGGCCCCAGGGCTCCAACAAAATAGGGCAAAGGAAGCCACCTAGAAGACATGTCCTGTCAGGTCTTGGAACTTCCCTGACTGTAGTCACAGGCCCCAAGTCTGTTGTTTACTAGTGATGAGTGTACAGACGACCAAAGTGTGGGGTGGGGCAGGGCCACAGTGTGTAGCTTCCTCTTTCCTAGGCCAGCAGTAAGCCAATTCTGGCCACTACTGTCAGAAATATTCAAGCTTACAGGGCCAAAAGGAAACACAGAGAACAATGAAGGCATTTTCTATATTCGTTTTGGAGAAAAAACATCATTTCTTGGAT